CCCCAAAACCCCAAAACCCCAAAACCCCAAAACCCCAAAACCCCGTGGATCAGTTGCAAGATTGAAAGAGGTTTAATGAATAATTTTAGAGACTATATAATCTATCTTCCAGACTGTTCTCAAGTCTCCATCAACATTCCTTCATCACTAATCTAGTAGAAGCACTGACAGTAGCTCTTCAGCACATCTTTGGGCTTGGTTATGCTGACAAGGTTTTCACTGGATTCATTATCGTTCAAAGAGTTGCCTATAATAACTAGGTTAACAACATCTAGAGAGAAATACTCAGATTTTCATGATTTCTTTCAGTGGGAATATCCATATGTCTTCTCACAGATAAATTATGTAATAAGAAGAATGTAAGCATTCAAAAGCAGATTATCTTTGCTTGTGAAATGATACCGCTTAGCCTATCGACAAAGCCCCTCATCATAATATAATTGCCAGACTAATTTTTGGATAATAAATGCTTTCGCAGAGAAGTGGCTTTCATTCACAAGCTTCTTAAAATATTAAACTCTTCAATTTATGAAGAGGCTCTACAGCTGAAAACTCGCTAAAATTAGAACTTGTAAATATGCAGTTTATAAGCAGCAGGTATCTCTGCTGTTTAAATATATTGCTGGATGCTTCATTTATGGTTGCTCAAATGAATAAGAGCGTTGAGTTATAAGGTTTCAAACTATTTAACGAACAATTTAGGGAGTGCAAATACTTATAACAAGCCTCTAACAAACTTATCGTACAGGTTATCTTTTTTTTGGAAATATCTCCAACATTCTTTAATTCTAAAATATATGGGCATATTCCAAAAATAGAGTATTAAACACTGGCACTTTGCCAGAGACAACTCAGACATTTGTCAATTGGAAAAGGAATTTTATCATAATGTTTCATAAATAAACACCTGTATTTAAAAATCTGGGTAACAACACCTCTCGTATCTCCAAAGTGCAGACCAAAGACTAGTTATATTCGTAGTCTATTACTCCAATCCCTAATCACTTAAGAAAGCTAAAACTTATCTACCTTCAAATATAGTCCCAGCAGAAGGACCTTTGATACACTGTGGTTGCTGCTCTGGTGAAGCAGTGGGGTTCATAGACTGGATGTGACCTCTGGTCATCCTTACTTCACTCTGTTCATCTAGGGGCTGGGCTGAACTTCCTTTGGTAACAAACCCTCTCTTTTCAATGTTAAACATTCCAATGGTAGGGAACGATGTAGATGATTGTGATAATCTGTTCAAAGTGTTATCAGATAAGTTCTTCTTAGGGTTAGTTTCCGCAAGGCTTGTATTCTTCAGTGGTAAAATTAAGACTAAAGCAGGGTGCAGAGGGATTATAGACTTAGAGTTGTCTGGATTGCTCACCATCATGCAAGGAACTCTAGCATCAATTTCATTTCCTTTGATAGTCATTTTACTATTGTTTAGTGTAACTTGCATCTGCTTGTGACTTCTCTTCCATGCTTTTTGTTTGAGAGTGTTTGCATCAGAGTAAGACTTTTTGGTTGAAATCAATTTTTTCGCATTTGGACAATGAGAGTTGCACTTTCTCTTGATTTGTTTCAACTGTTTTTGAGCATTGTTCAAACTCGTTTGCGAGTGATCTGGTTTTGTATAACTCCTTTCAGCTTTAGATTGGAAGAATTCATAAGAACTAGAGTCATCACGATACTTCAATAAGCTTTTGAGATTCCTTTTATTTATAGTTCTTTTGAGATTGTTCTCTTTGTGCACTCTGAAGCTCATTTTCTGTCATAAATAGATTGGAGCTTTTGATCTTAGACAATTTCTGAGAGGAAGGGCAAATTTCTTGATGTTTGGCATCATGGTGCTGATGCTCTTGTTGAGGCTGAATAAATTCTGAGTTATCAAATCTGTAGAATGGCGACTGGTCTCACATTCCTTGTTGAATTAGCTTCACCGGATCATCTGAGTTGAAGGTCTTCTTAATTACAGCAAAATATTTCTGAGCATGAGACCTGATTTGGATGGAACTCCTTGTGGGAATCTAAAAGTTAGCCAAATAGTCACCATTTGATCAATTTTATCCCAGTCTTTGCCATATGCTTTGAGGCCTGAAAGTAAGATAAAATATACTGTTAATAAATTGTAAGTGTTCTTCATGTGTCCATTTATCTCTTGACCTGTTTCTTTTAGTCTGAATATTGGCAGCTCACTATGAGAATGATTCATATACCAATAAAAGTAGAGAATATGCTCAAAAAGAGAGTTGTGAAAAGCTCTTACAGTCTGAAGCAGCTGATAATCTCTTTGCTGAGGGTTATCTTCCAAATTAGTTTTACTCTTTCTCATTTTTTCCTGTGTAGGTAAGTTTAGAATCAACCAGAAAACTTAATAAAATAAGACTTAGACAAACCCTTAGGCTTCCATCAAGTCTGCACTATGATGTCTAAAACTTTGGATTCCCATTCCTGATCTTTAGCCTAGAATAAGACTAAATCTATGACTTTGAATATGGTCATAAAGAATTGTGTAAAGAAAGACCGTATCAGAACTTTGTAAATAAAATCCTTTTGATACAAACCTCAAAATTACCATCACTCAAAGACTGAGAAGTTACTTGTGATAAGTCTTTCTGAGTGTTTAGAGTAAATTTTGTGTAAGAAAATATAGTAAAACTTCTGTTTAGAATCGATCTTATAGAAATAAATTTATCTTGCTTTCATATGCATGCTCTAGCATATCTAAATGATATAGACCCATTAATGAGCCAATGAATAAAATTAGAGCGAATATTGATTCAAAAGGACTGTCTCTTCAAAGATTTACTCTCTCAGACAAGGGCCAAAAGCAAACTATTCTCTCTTAACATATCACTTTGAATTCTTGTGAATAAAGATGCCGGTATGGTCATACTCCAAGTCCATCATAATTCACCAAGAGAGAAGAAAGATAAGGCTTGCTCTCTTAAAATTTGGAACAAATGTCAAAATTATTTGTGGCATTGACCTTGAGATTAGCTGCTTTAGACTTAATCTCCAAATGTTCGTTGGTCCTACTCATAATATTAAGCTAATTTTCTTCATAAATTTAAGGGATGCTGAAAAATTATTTTATGAATCAAAGATTTAAAGCATGCTAATTGAACATAAATTTCTTTCTGAAATGTGTGTAACAGTATTTTCATAACTCACAACTATTTAGTACCAGTAGTATTAAGGTAGATGTATAGATATGATATCATTAAACAAGGAATGAGTAGTCATTTGATGACAAAACACTCCACTACAAACCTTTGCAACAAATAATAAATATTCAAAGGATTTTTGGTTTGGAAATCATTCGGATTAGCTTTGAATAAGTTTTAAAATGGATGCTTGATTATTCTAATAAGATCAAACATAAGTCTAAACTTTAAAATTAAGTAAGCCAAATGCTAGGTTTGAGGAGTTCTATTAAATTGAAGGCTTCATTATCAAACCCTCATTAAAACTCATGAAAGTCGATTAAATTTTATTAGGCCTGTCCAACTAGTCAAGATAAGGAAATAAGCTTCATAACTGCACACAATCAGGCATCTTCATGTGGCATAAATTATTAATTAATAATTATTAGTAATGTTGGTGGTATGGCAAATGCCTTCATAAGCATGCAATTTTTCCTTAATAATAATTAGCATCACTAATAACTTTAAATCACTGATTTTCTGGAGGTCTGAAAGCTCCTCTAGCGAGTCTGCCTCCTTCAACGCTAGGGTTTAAATTTATCTTATAAAAAGGAAAATGTACCTTAATTTTAGAACAAATTTGGGAGACTTATAAATGGCAAAATGATGGCAAGTCTTGCGATGAATAATTTCACAAGTCTCAAAGATAACAAGTCCTTCTTGATAAGTAGGATTTAATTCTATTGAATTCAAACAAGCAGACCAGCATCTTAGCATATCATCCCTTGTTCAAGAAAATCCAAGATGGCTACCAGGAGCCATATTCTAAGACTCAGTTTGAAGTTAAAAATAACTAGAAGTTAAAACAGGGAATTTGAGAATAAATATGAACATATTTTATGATGCAGAAGAGATAAGGTAGAGCTATTAATCGGGAAGCTCTAGTACAAAAAAATACTTCGAGAATAAATAACTTGTAATTTTTTAAAAGAAAATGGAAAAATGGTTGCTCAAAATTTGTTATTAACATCAGGATGAGAATTGAAGAGATGTAAATTTTGATTGAATTACTTTGGATATGTCTTATATCATACAATACCTAGGTTGTGCTGTTGGGAATCAAACTTTATTACTCAAAGTATCCAGTTTGAAACATTCTCACAAGTCACATAAGAATTTAAGAACCAGAAATCTCTTCAGTTTTGCTTCAAAAAGAACTTATGTGAGAGAAGAAGTTTCACTTAAGTTGATAAAATTTCACACAAAAAGCTTATGACTCAAAGACTGGGAGTTTCACACCCAGAACTTCATGAAAACAGTCTGTTTAAACTAATTCCAATAAGTTTAGTCATGATAACTTCTTGTACGTACACTCAAAGCTATATTGGCACACTCTAGGGCCATCAGAGAGTATTCTCCCAAAACAACAAGGCTGACTTTAACACCTAAGGGAAGATTTGGATCTAAATGGAGTCCTTCTTACCTTTGAGCTATAATTTTCTCAATAATTTTAATATGGGAGGGGTTTTGGGGTTTTGGGGTTTTGGGGTTTTGGGG